TTTTTACAGTTATATAAATTTGTATTTGTTTTGATTAATATATGTTTTGTACCTTATGTGATCATCACCTTCAGTGTAAAATTTCCAACCATCTTATATTCTCTTGCTTCACCTACATTGATATTTAAATTTCTGAGCTTTATATAATTTTCCTCATCGTTTCATGTGTTTATTAAATCACTGGGCTCTTCATACATTTTTCCTACTTCTCCATCCTCCTCAATTGTAGTAAGCATATATCAATGTATAACCACTGTGTCCTTTGGCTAATTATATGTCTTTGCTTAGATTCCCGTGGGTTTTTAAATTAAATTTCTAAAATTAAATTAGATTTTACATTACTTTATGAATGATGTAGTCTTTAATTTAATACTAACACTTGGAGGATAAATTATTAATAAGATTTACTTTTTATGCATTACTTTTAAGATTGATTAGTTTAAATGTTGTATTAAGTACTTTAAATATATATTAAAAAACAATTTTTTCTTACTAACACAATTATTCATAAGTATATACCATAGGTTATCATAAGTTTAGTTGTGTATCTAATACTGGGAAGTTTATTCTTACCAATCTGTTCATCAATAACTCACAAGGAGCTGCACCAATATGTGGTATTGTTGTACATCGATACTCTAGTAATAAATCATTTGATTCCTTTCTTTCACCTATGGGTTTTTTTAACAACTGTTTAGCTGTTTGAACTGCTCTCTCTAATAAACCATTCGATTNGGGTTTTTTTAACAACTGTTTAGCTGTTTGAACTGCTCTCTCTAATAAACCATTCGATTGAGGATAGTTAGGACTAGATGTTCTAAGTTCAATGTTATATTCTTTACAAAATTTTCTGAATTCATGTGAACCAAATGGTATGTTATCCGATACTATTATTTTGGGACACTCATGTACACTCATAATAGTCTTAAATTGACTAACCATTTCATTAGCAGTTTTACTTAGTATTCTATTGATTTCTAATCACTTTAAATAATGATCTGCTATTACTAAATAGTCACTACCACCAAATGTTAGTATGTCACAGCTTACTATTTCAAACGGTAATGTTGGGGTTTCATGTGAAATCAGTGGTTTCTTAATATTAGCATTCCTAAATTTTACACACACGTTACATTTGTTAACAAACTGTCTAATCTCATTTTCCATACTAATCTAATAAACTTATTGTTTGGCTCTTAGTATCGTTTTTACAACTCCATTATGTCCTTCATGAATTAATTTTAAAACATTATTTCTCAGACTTTTAGGTACAACTATTCTGTTATCATAATAAATTATCCCACTTTCTACAACAATTTTATCTTTTAATTTCCAAAAATGTCTTATACTTTCATGCAAATTTTTTTTATTAGTACTCCCTCTGAGCGGGCATTTGGGCGAGAAGCCAAAGCCCCCGGCGATTGGCTGCTGGACATTATTTCTACGGGTAAAAACCCGAAACAAGTAGAAATAACCGGACAGAAAAAGGATTACGCCGAATCGCTACCGAAAAAACCACAATTTTCCCCGAAAAGACCGAAGAATGACCATAATTCCGGTGTGATAACCGAAAACTCCGGTATCTTCGATGGGAAAATTAAAATCTCTGGGGGGGGAGGACAATCCTCTCAAAATCTTGGGTCATCTTTCGGTAAAAACAACGCTAGTCACAATATATCCCGTGAAAATAACCGCAAACACTTTGAGGAAGGGGATTGGGCGNATTAAAATCTTTGGGGGGGGAGGACAACCCTCTCAAAATCTCGGGTCATCTTTCGGTAAAAACAACGCTGGTCACAATATATCCCGTGAAAATCACCGCAAACGCTTTGAGGAAGGGGATTGGGTGTATTATCGCGCGCATCCCTTATCCAGCGCTGATAAAAAGTTTCATGCCGGCTTTGCCCCTAAGTGGCTGGGCCCCGTGCAACTAGCCAAAAGGTTAGGTGAGGGAGTATTTGCGACTAAAGGAAAGCGTCAGTTGAAGCTGCATGTTACGGCCATGAAACATGACACTTCGGGAGGTAATCCTAACAATCATCCTCTGTTACAGGATGACCGACAACCAGCAGCAAGGAGGAGCCCGCCCGTTCCGTCCATCGCGTCGATTAGCCGCCGAAACCGCAACCATGATGCGACGACAGGCGCGCAGGTTGATGAGGCAGGCAGCGGCTCTCATGGGAGAGTCCTACGACGAACTCCCAGAAAACTGGACCAGGAACCGGGTAAGAACGGCCGAAGTGTGGGAGTTGAGGTCCCAACCGTTACTTTGGGCCGCCTTCGACCGTGGGCTAACCGACCGGGCTCGTCGTGCGGAAACCGGAGAAACCCGGAGACGAGGCGATGGTTCAGCACGACCGCGGCCACGTGCTCGACGTCCCTGTCAACCGGCTCAAGACCGGTTACAGCAGCCACAACTGAACCACCGCCACAATGCGCGAGGGGAAAATGGACGATTCCGTCCGCGGCAACAGGCGCCACTGGTCGTAGTGGAACAAAGCGGAGTGGGAAGTGGGTCTCAGCCCGACGGAAACGTGAGCCGGGACCGACAACCCGATCTACCGGTCGTGTTCCTAGGAAACGACCGGATAGATCCGCCATTGGACTTAACCTTCCAACAGCCGGACGTCATGGAGAGGATGGAGGTGGAACCCGACGTCGAGGCAATCCTCCACGCTTCGCCCATCCTGCTACCGGACTTTGCCGATCTGGAAGGCGTCCCGGCAGACCACTCACCATAGGCTGAAAAGGCTAGCCGACCGGTCGGACTGGGGGGGGAGTATGACGCGGTCGCATTGCACTTCCGGCTTTACCGCTGGATGGCGACTGCGACACAGCTACCTCTCCTCGTCCGACAGGTCGCGCGACGCCGAGTGACCGCGGGTGACGAGAACCGGTCCAGGCCGCCGATCACTATCAAGTCTGACTTACTACTATTCATATCATCATATTGTTTGTTTTTGGACATTTTGTTACTTCCTTTTGGAATTGATATTGTCATTTAAATTCTTATGTATAATTAGTTGAAATATATTACAAAGTAAAAGTTTAATAACGGTGTTATTCAATATTAAACTATCACCTAACCACAACACATACTATTAAATTCTGAAATTGTACATTGTAATAATAATGGTATACTGTGTATAACATAACAATATCAAAAATATTTATAAAAAAAAATTATTTTAACAAGTTCATTTTTCAAAACGTCATCAAAATTTTTATTAAAAACAATTAAAAAAGTGTTTAAATTTACTAATTTTATTATTTTGGGGTATTTTCTGATTTAACGGGGAACGAGAGAAATTATTTTAATTTTGAAGTTAATTTCTTAAACTAAATACAATTCGATATATATTAATGCATCGTTGTATACCTTGCAACGACGATGTATCTTTTGAATCGTTAATACAATCTCAGTTTCACTTCGAAGCTAAAATTGTGTAAGTAGGATTCTCTTAAAAATTCAATCCATACGTCACAAAGTTTTAATGTATTAATATATACATTTTATGTGGATTTTTTAATAATGGTTGAAAAATATTTTTTTTCTTTTTGTTCAATTAAATAAAAAATTTTGGTATATATAAAACCTTTTAGTGTAATTAAAAATAAAAATGTAAAAAAAATAGTTTTTCATTTTTGCAATATTAAAAGAGCATAGTTAGGTCCCTACCTGGATCTAAGGATGTTGTATGCCTCTCAGTTAGGGTCCTTAGTAACACGCTATTGGCCCCCTTACTGTGATGCAGGTTCATCTGAGTGAATTGAATTCTATTGTCCGAGGGTCTAAATTTTAGATTTTGTCAGCTACTGCTCCCAGTTGATCTTGTGACTCCTGATCTGCATTAGTTGACGTTGCTGCTTTTTGCTAGTAGACGGTTCACCAAATGTCCCGTTATTCGCATTGAGACCTTCAAGTACAGCGATTCTTCGCAGAAGAATCGTTAGTTCACGCTCTTATTCCGACAGGTTGTCCGTAGGATCCCTGTTCGTCCCAAGTTCGATATTTTGTGGTGTTTGTATGTTTTTATCCATATAGTTCCCACAAGTAGTAAAGAATTAATGTCCATCACAGCAGAGCTCGACACTGTGATAAGGCTGTATAATCTATGGTGCGCCAGGTGCCATAGAGGATCCCAATGGTCACTTTACCTTTCGGCTAACTATCCTATGACAAGTTAGCAACCCTTTCACTTGGTATGGCTGGATTAGGAGGGCCTATTTGCTGTTAGCAAGCAGGTATGCCCAGGCCTACCGGTTCCAACTAACCAAAGTCATAACCGACTAGGAGCAGTGGTACGTGTTTCCACACCCACTGAAATAACTAGGGTAACTAAATATTTATAAAAAATTTTACACTTAATTGATAAGGACCCATAACAAAGATAGCTAAAAATAATACTTATCATGATTGAAGTTTCACTTTAAACTATTTTACTACTTTCCAAGTATTACGGACAGATTATTCGTCCTTCACCAAAATTAACTATTAAAAACTATACTAGTGTCTGATCAGCACAAACGAACCTACAGCTCAACTATGAGTATGAGGCGCGAGGATGTAAATAAGCTGATTACATACTTTTCTTAAATTAATTAAAAACATAACGAAGTTAGTCGACATTTTACCACACTTACGGCAACTTACCTTGATCTGATCTGATAACATAACTCGCGCAGTATTGTTGTAGATACTAAATTAAATACTATTATTATTTAAATCATTATTATTATTTCGGGTCGCGTCACCACCGTCGCTCACCTAATTTGGATACCACCAACATCTCTAAAGATCCAGTCTGGTTATATTTAAATAATATTAAATAGAAATAAATGATTTTTATCGTTGTTAGTTGAGAGTCTATATTTATTTGTTCACGAAACCGCTAACTGCCTTTTAGTAGGATATAAATTATATAAGGCCAGTGTTGTCCCGTTTAGGTATGGCTTAGCCAACTGTTAGGACCCTAGCGAAAAATCACGGTGCACAAGTATTCGGATAATTAAAACAATAATTAAACTATCACTTTTTTTACATATTACAAAGCTCAATAAAAATTCTATTCCGGAAAAATTAATTAAATCTTTTGCTCATTTAGGAATTGACAATGTATATTCAAAACGCACAAAAATATGCCCTTTTGAAAGAGGTACGACCATAAAAGCTGCTACAAATGGTGACATAGAAACATTAAAACTAGCTCACGAAAGAGGATGTGAATGGAATAAATATACCACAACTGAAGCTGCTGCAAATGGACATTTTCAATGTTTAAAATATGCACATGAAAATGGATGCCCATGGGATGAAAGCACAGCAGAAGCTGCTGCAAAATATGGGAATTTAGAAATTTTAAAATATGTTCATGAAAATGGATGTAGGTGGGATAAAGATACAACAAGGGCTGCTGCTGCAAATGGAAAATTAGAATGCTTAAAATATGCTCATGAAAATGGATGTAGGTGGGATAAAAATACAACAAGGGCTGCCGCTGCAAATGGGCATTTAGAATGCTTAATATATGCGCATAGAAATAAATGTAGATGGAATCAAAAAACAACAAGGGATGCTGCTGCTAATGGATTTTTTGAATGTTTAAAATATGCACATGAAAATGGATGTCCATGGGATGAAAGCACAGCAGAAGCAGCTTCAAAATATGGTAATTTAGATATATTAAAATATGTTCATTTAAATTATTGTAAATGGGATCAAAAAACAACAAAAAGTGCTGCTGAAAATGGACGAATAGATTGCTTAAAATACGCTCATGAAAATGGATGTAAATGGAATGAATTAACAACGAGAGAAGCCGCAAAAAGAGGTAGTATGGAATGTTTGGTTTATGCTCACAAAAATGGATGTAAATGGGATGCAACAACAACAAGAGAAGCTGCAAAAAGTGGTAGTTTGGAATGTTTAGTGTATGCTCATATAAATGGATGTAAATGGGATGTGGGCACAACTACTGGTGCTGCTATGAGTGGAAATTTAGACATTTTAAAATACGCACATAAAAATAGATGTCCATGGGATGAAAGCACAACAGAAGCTGCTGCTGCTAATGGACATTTAGAATGTCTAAAATATGCTCATGAAAATGGATGTAAATGGGATGAAAATACAACTAGAGCCTCTGCAGAAAGTGGATGTTTAGAATGCTTAAAATATGCTCATGAAAATAGATGTAAATGGGATGAAAATACAACTAGAGCTTCTGCAGAAAGTGGATGTTTAGATTGTTTAAAATATGCTCATAAGAATGGTTGCAAGTGGGATGTGGGCACAACTATTGGTGCTGCCATGAATGGTAATTTAGAAATTTTAAAATATTCACATGATAATGGATGTCCATGGGATGAGACCACAGCAGAAGCAGCGGCAAAATATGGTAATTTAGAAAACTTAAAATATGTTCATTTAAATGGGTGTAAATGGGATCATAAAACAACAAAAGCTGCTGCAGAAAATGAACATTTAGATTGCTTAAAATACGCTCATGAAAATGGATGTGAATTGGATGAAAAGATAACGGAATTAGCTGCTTTTAACGGTGATTTAGAAATTTTAAAATACGCTTATCAAAATGGATGCACTTGGTCAGAAGGCACAACTAGTTCTGCTGCTTACAATGGTCATTTAGATTGTTTAATATATGCCCACATAAATGGATGCCAATGGGATGATGAAACAACTAAAGATGCTGCGGAAAGTGGCTATTTAGACTGTTTGAAGTATGCTCATGAATATGGATGTCATTGGAGTGAAGGTACAACTGAAGCAGCTGCTATTTATGGTAATTTAGATTGCTTAATATATGCTCATGAAAATGGATGTGAATGGGATGAGGATACTGCAGAACTAGCTGCAAATTCTGACAATTTAGAATGCTTAATATATGCTCGTGAAAATGGCTGTCATTGGGATGAAGATACAACCATAGCTGCTGCAGAAAATGGCTTTTTAGACTGCTTAAAATATGCTTATGAAAATGAATGTCCATGGAATGAAACAATATTAAATGTTGCTGCTGAATATGGAAATTTAGAATGCTTAAAATATGCTTATGAAAATGGATGTAAGTGGTATGAGGGCATAACTAGAGTTGCAGCTTTAAAAGGTCATTTAGATTGTTTAATATTTGCCTATATGAATGGATGCCGATGGGATGTTGGCACAACTAAAGTTGCAGCTTTAAATGGTAATTTTGATTGTTTAATATATGCTCATAAGAATGGATGCTATTGGGATGTTGGAACAACTAGAGCTGCTGCAGCATGTGGTTGTTTCGATTGTTTAAAATATGCTCATGAAAGTGGATGTAATTGGGATATAGATACAATAGTTACAGCTGCTGTTCATGGTAATTTATATTGCTTAAAATATGCTTTTGAACTTGGATATGATTGGGTGAGAGGTATTACGAGAGGGACTGCTGCAAATGGACGTTTAGAGTGCTTGAAATATGCTCATGAAAATGGTTGTGAATGGGATGAAGGCACAACAAGGGAGGCTGCTGCAAGTGGTTGTATTGACTGTTTGATATTTGCTTATGAAAATGGATGTCGGTGGGATGTAGGGACAATGAGTGCAGCTGCTGCAAACGGTCATATAGACTGCCTAAAATATGTTCATGAAAATGGATGTGAGTGGGACGAAAGTACTACAAGACTTGCTGCTGCAAATTATCAATTTGATTGTATAATATACGCACATGAAAATAATTGCCCGTGGAGTAGAAATACCATTCATGAAGCTATTCAAAATAATTATATTGATATAATTTTGTATGCTATAGCAAATGGTTGTCCTAATTAATTGTCTTTTTAAATGATTCTATTTTTTAATATGTTGTCTAATTACAATATATTTAAAATAAATAATCTTAGGATTTGATAGTAATAATTTTATTTATATTTTACTTGTTTAATATTTAGTGTTCTGAAAACGTTACTGAAATCCAATACATCATATTTACATCATTTTTCGAGATTTCAATCTAACCAAATTTGAGAATGCCAAATTACTTTTAAAAATATCTCCTCAATATTATGATACTGTGAAAAAAAAAAAATTTTAAATGTGCTGTTCCTTTTTTGTATGATCTTATCGAATTTTTATAAAATATATCAAAGACAATAAGCTTAGTTTTTTATTTATTTTATTAAAATGAAAACCTAAATAAAGGTGAGGGACCTGTAAGGTTTAAGCCAAACCAGAGGACCTACTATTTACTCAATGAAGAACAATGGACAGTGACCTAGTAGCCGAGCCAAGCAAGACAGTACTTGTTGACGGAGCTGATAATCAAATCATCGCTCATCGCTCACTGATCCTCTGTGCCCGGCAAATAGCACCTAGTGCTAACGCTGATCACAGTTGTAGGTAAATGTCCTTGGAGTGAAGCCACACATAGACAGTAAAGATTATATAAATTTTCAGACATAGCAGAGACAGAAGCACCAGAATCAAGAAGAGCAGTATAGAGATAATTAAAGATAGAAATTTCAATTTCGGGACGAAAACTAAGAGAAGGAGAGATTTTTTGATCAAGACTTAATGGATGAGATGGAATATTTAACTAAGGAATATTGGGAGACGATCGTTTCCCGCATGTGGTGATTGGGATACATTAGGAGTAGTAATTGGGAGAAGAATTGTTTGTGGAATTTTGGGGTTAACTGTTATTATAAGGAGATCGTCCATGGAATCGCTTTTGATAAGGATTATTAGGATTATGATTCTGGGGTCAATTATTTTGAGAATTGTTATAAGAATAAGAGGAGTTCATTGAAAAATAATTAGAATTAGAATGTTTTATTAAAATGTTCAGCATAGGATAAATGGTCAATTAATTCATTAAGGGTTTTAATACGATGAATTCTTAAAGGACTGGCTAGTTTCCGGAAAATGAGAAAGGATTTGGAATATAANCGGAAAATGAAAAAGGATTTGGAATATAAGAGTTTCGTTTTCGATGGGAGGATTAAGATATTTTGCTTTATTAATCCATTCATGTTATGTTTTTGAAGAGTAGAGGTATCACGATGATAATAGGGACGAGAAAGTTCATTAAGGGTCATTAGCTGTTTACTATAGAAACAGAAATGTTGGCGAAAGAGCTCAATAAAATTGAAAAAAGTATTAGGAGGAGGAGTGAGAGCATTAAAACATCGTTTGACCTCACCAGTAATTCGCCGTCGAACAATATTAATTTTGAGGTAATTAAGGATATTTTGTAATTGGAAATAATCATTAATTTCAACAAGGAAAGCTTCAGAATGAACAGGTGTTAGATTACCATTATATTCATGGATAACATCAGAAAATTTTTCTTGAAGGAGAATAGAACTATTATTTAAAGAAAAAGAAGGGCGAGGTTCAGCATTAGAGGTAGTTTGGGTAGGCAAAGAATCTTTAAACAAATTATTGGAATGAGTAGGTGGAAAAGTTGGTTGATTTGGGAAATTTGAATGGGGATTATTATTAAATTGTTTAAGTTAAGGGGAAAAAGTGGTAGAGGACATTTGAGGACCATAAGAATATCTAAGTTTTTTAGGAATATCAGTTTCAATTTTTTGAGATAAAGGAGGAATTACATTAAGATCAGGAATAGATAATTGAAGTTTTTGGACAGAGGATTCAAGGGAAGCTAACCTAGCAGATTGACCTGCAACTAAGCATAACCGTTCCGATAAATTAGAAATGTCGGTTTTTAATTCGATTTGGACATCCGAAATTTCATTGTCTGTGTAGGATTTGCATTCTGCCTTGCTATTTTTAAGTACTTCTAATAATTTGGTATTGATTTCAGTCATGTCTTTTTTAAGATCCGAAAAAGAAGATTAGAATTGTCGTCGTGATTCCTCGAATTGTTTTTTAGAGTCAATTTAACCAGAATAATATATGATTAAATAAAATTTTATCAAACAGTTAACTTAAAAGTAGTATTAAGAGAGAGAAAGAACAAAATGAAATGTATAATAGTTTAACAGCAAGATTAAATGAAAACAATTTAATAGATCAGGTTTTGAGCTAACAGATTTTACCTAAAATAATTTTGTTAATCAAAACAACAAACTGAATTAATCAAATAAATTAATAAAAAGATAAATGGTTAACAGAAGTCAATATTAATATAACAAGGGTCTGTGTTAAAACAGTAAACACCTAATAAAAATATTTTGACAATTAACTAAGTAACTATAATAGTTAAGATGAATGGTTATAAGAACCGTTGATAGCACTAATATATAAATATAAGGATATCAAATATTATAGGTTATGGCTATAGGTGGGTCACACTAGGAGCTGTACCTCAGGTACATTTTCAATCAACATTCCATAGAAACAAAAATACATAAATAATCAGAGTAATAGTGAAAGTGAAGGGAGGGGTGGTGGGATTTGAGGCCCTCAAATCCGCGAAACGCATGGATATGGTTAGTTGGCATATCACTGCTCAGACGATGTTTCGTCAAAACAGCGTACTACAACCCCTGAGACATTACCATGCCACTATAACCACTTACGGGGAGATGAGTCTCATAACGGGAGAGGGGAAGTGTTGGGAAGTTAAAAACTAAAATAACATGTAGTACTAGTACAATGTTATAACAATATTTAAACATGGTCATGTAAAATAAAAAAAATATATAAGAACGGAGATTTAATAGAGAGAATAAAGAAAGAGATATTTTGAATAAAAATAATGGCTAAGCAAAAAGTAAAACATAGAGAAGTTTTTTTAATATTGAAAATAAGGAATGAGGGGAGTGGGCATATTAGTGTCACTAACCCCCAATTATTGGTGATAGCAGACAAACTACTATATAAAAAATGAAATTAATAAAATAATTAAATTTTCAGTTTTACTCTACTACTGTTATTTAAAAGAAGGATATGATTATCAACACAATGTAATACATAATAAGGGGAAGGGAGAAGAAAGTTAACCCATAAAAATGAAAGAAAATTAAGTAAAATATTAAAGATCAATTTAAATTCAGCTTATAACTAGTATGTGCATAGATAGGGCAAGTATATGAACAAAAGAGTTATAGTGTAAAGGTTACTTAGGCATCATTAATGATAGTACCATATAAAAGACCTGTCAATTGATCTGTGCAATGCCGAACATATTTTACTTAAGTATCGACAATTTCCGCTTGTGTAACCTTTTAGTTTGTTTAATAAATTTTTTGACCATGCCTTAGTGGAAGGAAAGAAGAATATAAAATGTGGAAATTGAGCCTTACAATATATTAGATGGAAAGAAAAAAACAGCATATATGTATAATAATCACAATATGATATTTTCAGTTACGAAAAAATAACAAACAAACAAAAGCCAATGGTAAATGAAATTAGCACAAATTAATAAGGGAATAAATAACATATATTTCCTGTTTATAACTAATACATATATTATGTGGACTGTAAATCCGTTAAATAAACAATAAAAAATTATTAATAATTACCCACTGCCGCTTGAAGGTGATGAATATTATGTCGTAATACACTGGTCACTATCACAATTTGAAATAACAGTGGGCTACTCTGTTTTTGTCCACAATAATGGTTTTTCATTTAAGATTATTAACACTTTAATTCATAAATTATATTCATATGCTTAAAATAATATGATTGTTTTTAATTAAATAACTTAGAAAAATATTTAATAAACGCTTACTGTTATTTAATTATATTATATTATACACGATTCAGTCATGAGTCAATTATTAGTCATCTTTAAAAATCATTTTATAAGACATTTATAAATTATACTTGTCAGCTCTTTTTATTCTTATCTTAATACAAAAACACAATGTGTTAACCCTAGTCTAGAATTAAAAAAAAACTATATTAACGTTGTATAAAAATGATTTGTATATTATCCATGTGTATTAATTTATATATTTCATATTTTATGCTTACTTAATAATAAACAATAACATTACAAGAATGACACAATGATGATTGTTTGGGGATCAAAAAATACTATAAAATGGCTGAGGACTTGAGAGAATCTGTCTCTAAATATCATTGCGCTCTCGACTTCGATACTCAAAGTTCGTAATCATCATTGTGAAATTTTTACTTGTTAATTTATGAACTAAACATTTGAGTACATGTTATTTTGTTATAACCTGATATTTTCAAAAGTTATTTTTAGAACAAAGAAAAATCTTCAGGTAAGACTTTAAATCATTAACAGTCAATACTTATATTATCTTATAATTCAATTATTTAGAATTAATAATCTGAATATAGAACGACAAAGCAATAGATAAAATAATTATATTAATCTTTAAACTTCAATTAATTCTGTAACGTGACAAAAGTATCTATTTGTTTTTTGTCTATTTGTATATATATATATATTTGTGTTGAGCCGAATGCGGACTGCGACGGTGTTTGTCGGTAAAATTATCATGATAAGGTGTTGTGATTTGTTTATGCGCGTGCGAGATAGTCAGCTGTGTACTACTTCAGACCGGTTCATGGACGGCATTTGTTTGTACATTCACCCCGCTCCTTTCCCATCTTGAACGTCATTTGCACTGCTCACCGCATACATTGTCNATTTTTTATAATTAATATGATTTATTAATAAATACTAAATAAAGTAATGAGTAAAAAAAAAAAAAGGTCTTCAAATGCTAGGGTTGCAGTTTTCAAATTGTTTAGTTGAGCTCCCCTACTTATTTTTGGCCAATTCGAGCACTGGTCGCGAGTGCCCGCTATTGGTTATACAATGTGATTTTTTTTTATTGGCGTCGGTTGAGCCTGCCTCATTTTCTGCCGGTAATGTATAA